GTAAGAATGTTATATACCATGTTTTAACTGTGCAATATAAATCTTCCAACGAATAAACAAACAGATAAACTTTACAACTGTTTTATGCAATGAAAACACCTTCAATTTGAATATTAAAAGCGACTTTATGAATTGTGTACGTCTATTATTTATTTCCCTTTCAATTCAGTAACGAAAGTAATGAAATATTTCTTGAAAGCCCTTTGGTCCAATTTAACTAGGTTGGTACAAAAATCAGTCATTAATTCCTGAGAAAGACCCATATTAGTCAAGTAATTAGAAAGGAATGTAAGATATTCGTCACCTCTCTTTTCTTGGTAAGTCTTTAACAAAGATGCAATTTCTTGACCCACTAGTCTATACTGTGCATCTTTTAAATCAAACTCCAGTTTCTGGAATGGTAATTCAAAAGATAATTGAACGGCCTTATTCATCAAATATTCATCAACTCCTTCGAGTGGAGGAAGACTTTCACCATATTTATCTTGTGGATCATTAATTTTTCCACCATGACCGCCCATAACTGAAACAACATTAATAAGTTGAGTTATGGCCAATTTTGAGACTGTGGGTTCAGATGTGTTATAGGCGTATACAAAGAAACTCTCCATTATGGTTGGAAATTTTTGTTTGTTAGTTTCTGTGATCAACAAACTAGACGAATGATTAGTGATAATAGCACTAATAAAATTCATATATGACTTTTTCAACGATTCCTTGTCTCTGATAATATCAGGCATAGATTCGTATTCATTGTTTTCGCCATTATACTTCAATAACGAAAATATTTTGTCCAACAAAGGTGATAATAAATCATTTAATAGCTGATAAATATTATCGTTACTTTGAAAGTTATGAACAATTTGACCTAAGAAGTTCAAAAAGTTGGTTAGTTCTGAAATTTTCAAATTATTGGCCGCCAAGATAATAGAAACAAGCTTGCTCAAATGATTGTTGATTTCTTCATTTAAGATTGGAATAAATCTTGCGAAGGAAAATCTAGCTGCATCTCTTATGATTTCAAATTTAGCAAAATTTTCCAACGTAATTAGAACAACCTGGGATGCATTATTAATTTTATTAACAATTTCTGCAGAATACTTGTTATTATAATCATAATCGTATCCCCTCGCGAATGTACCAATAGCCATGAGTGAATGATGAGCTTGCAATGCAATTAATTGTGGGTTAACCTTATCCTTGTTCGAGATACAATTCTCTAAATCATTGAACAATGGTTGAAAAATCAAATCAATCATTCTTACCTTCAAAGAAATATCTACGGAAAGTAAGGAAATCAACAATCCAATACTTTCAAAAAGATTCAATTGGTTATTAAAATTACCATTTTCAATGGTATCATTGTCCTCATCTTTTGTAGGTAACTCTGCCTTTATGACGAGCAACGGCTGTAACTTAATAAACAAGTTTTCAATAAAAGATGAATTGTTTAATGTTGGCTTAGTCAACTTAACAAATCTAAAAAATAAATACCATGTTCTCAATCTTACCTTCTCGGAGTTGTTGAATAAGCCCAATGGTGAAGAAAATAATTCTAAAATTCTAAGAATTACTTCTTGGTTATTGATATTAGTATTTAAAAAGTTATAATGGCGGACTATTAGCTCAAAAAATCCCAACTGGATTTTTGGATGATCGATTTTTAGTATTAAGTCTGAATTAATTAATTTAATTAAGAATTCTTGAACCAAAACAAATGGCTTTGAGTTACCTATTTCTTGCTTTGGTAAATTAATTAAATTGTTTCTCAATGATTCTGTAAATGTATTTAATTCGAATAAACCTAATTCCAAATTTCTCCAGTTTACCTTATCAAAATCACTGGTATGTGCAAAAATAGATTCATTAATAACTATTGGTATGGCTTCCAAGAATAATTCTGGCTTTAAAATAGCAATAGTATCCTGGAAAGTCTTCAACTTCAATCTGATTTCATTAAACTGCTCAGTTGATTCATCGTCAGTTCCATCATCATCATCATCAAATTTCATTTTCAAGATAATTTTATTTAATAAGGATGATAATAATTCAATAGATGCTAATTGATTAAACTTCTTGCAGATTAATAAATATTGCTGAATAAAAGGAAAAATTTGCTGGGAAACATCGTCATACTCATGAGATAAGAATTTGAAGATTGAGGGCCATAAGTTTAAAAATTGTTGATTAATTGAATCAAATAATTCTAATTCTGAAGATTCTAAAACAATGACTAATTCTAGTCCTACTTGGTTTGATAATTTAGCAATATTTTCCATGAATTCTAAGTCATCATCGCTATTAACTGAATTAATTATTGAGGTCAAATTTAACAAGGAAATTAACTCCAATTTATTCAAAGGCTTCATCTTCTTTGAGATAACTTCAATTAAAGTTAAGCATGTTTCATTTCTTTGGTCTGGTTTATTAAGATATTGGAATATAATGTTGATGAAATCGTTAGAGATAAATAACGTAATCTCCATCCAGTTGATATAATATCCAATAATCTTCAAGAAGTTGTTTAGAACGTCATTGTTATGCTGTATTAACTCAGGGTTTCTTAAAACCTTTTGCCAGTTATCAACTAACAAATTCATGTCATTTGTACGGATTTGATCCTTTAAAAGGTTATTTCTATCTTGAATTTCTCTTGATCTAGAAATGAACTTGTCACTAATCTCAGTATGCACGGCAATTATAATTCTACTATATATATCAATAGCAATTAGGTTATTATCAGCAATAAGTGCAAGCAAATCCTTCAAAAAGTTTGGGTTGATGCTGAGGTAAGTGAAACAGAATAAATTACCCATTATTCCTGCAAACTTATTCTTCAAGTAAACTGGGTCATTGATATTGGAAGTAATCACATAATTTAAGTACTGAAACAAATCTGAGTTTAATTCATATAACTGTTCACTATTTAATTTAGTAATGTTTTCATCAATCACTTGTAGTATGAAAAACTTGAATTCTTGGTTCAAAGGCGAATTACTGTTGATAGATTTTAATAGAATATCTAAGCATGATTTATATCCCTCCTCGGTTGATTTAATTTGATTGATAAATTCAAATGCTTGATTCTTCAATCCCAAATCACTAGTACCACTTAGAGCAATTTCGACTGCCTTCAGAATTTGTTCATCCATTTACTGTAGTTTTCAGTCCTATATATATATTTTGTGTATTTTTGTTCCTATAGTCTATATTGGTAAATGAAACCTATTATATCTCTCTAAGAAGTCTTTTGTAGTATGTGGAACTATTCTATTTATATTCGATCCTATGCTGTGGCTACTTTGACATGCAAGTATGATTCGAATCATAATATAATAAGGTAGACACAAGCTGAAAAAATTTTTGTTTTTCGCACTCACACGATCTATTGAGCTGTCAGGAAGACGATTACTTTAGACTACTAAATGATAAAGATAAGATATCTACAAGGTAAAACACACGGTTTTGGAAGTGCTAGCTTATTGGCACGGAACCAGTTAATTATACGTTTTGATTTTTCAAGAAATTTAAAATTGTGATGAATTGACAGTGTGAAGTTTTCAATCTCTATGTATAAGTCATTGTAATGGCAAGAAATATGGTGAACTGACCTTGTGAGTCATTAATCAGCAATTGTAGTCTATTCTTGTAATGAAAGCTTATTTACCTTTAAAATGTTATATATACGAGCGAAATTTGATGACTCTTATTTGTTTCTGGAGGGGTACACCTTGATCTAACAGTTGCACAGAGATCAAATACAATTACTCGAGAGTGGCGTATTTCTTCAAATGGGAAGGTAAAGCATCAAACAAACCCTTCGATTGTAACCAGCTTTGAGAGAAAATACGGTCACTGTATTTGTGAGCAGAATCAGCTAACAAAGTGACAACATTTGAACCTTCTGGTAATGATTGGGCAACTTTGACAGCAGCAACAACATTCAAAGCACCGGTACCACCGATATATAATCCTTCTTCATCCAACAAACGGTACAACATTGCAATTGATTCTTCATCGGTGATCTTTAATGCGTCATCTATCAATGGGATTTCTGGCTTCAAGTTATCGGTAACCCTACCTTGACCAATACCTTCGGTGAAGGAAGAACCACCTCTTTCCATTTTTTCTCCATTAGACTTGATGTAAGAATACAAGACAGATCCAGGTGGATCAGCTAAAACACATTTGGTAGCCCCGTTGGAGATTTCCTTTAAGTATCTAGTTACACCTGCAAAAGTACCACCAGTACCTGTGGAACAGGTGAATGCATCTACTTTACCGTTCAATTGGGACCAAATTTCAGGCCCAGTAGTTTCGATGTGAGCCTGTCTGTTTGCAGTATTGTCGAATTGGTTCGTCCAGGCAGCATTTTCTTGAGATTCAGCGAACCTCTTTGCCTGATGATTATAGTTCTCTGGATTGTCAAATGGGACCGCTGGAACCGGGTGCACGGTAGCTCCCAACAATCTCAAGGTTTCAATTTTATTCTTGGATTGGGTGTTTGGCATATAAATCACACATTTGTACCCTTTAGCTCTACATACATGGGCTAACCCAATCCCAGTATTACCAGCAGTACCTTCCACAATGGTTCCACCAGGCTTGATCAAACCCTTTTCTTCAGCATCCTTGATCACATATAACGCAGCCCTATCCTTAATCGATCCTCCTGGGTTCATAAATTCAGCTTTAGCGTACACATTTCTACCGATTTCGTCGGAGATCCTGGGTAACCGGATAAGAGGTGTATTTCCAATTGCCAGTGGAATACCATTTTCCGAAACCAAAGGCACGAATGGAAGCTTAATATCGTGATTCCTGCTTATTGTCAAGCGACGAATACTAGTTCTAATCATTTCTGCTTTTACTTAGTGCTTGTATCAATTGTGCACCGCTATTAACTCGATTTTTCACTTCTAAGACTCACCTGAGAATCGATATAGGATCACCATATCACACGTGACACGTTCAAACACTCATCAAGGCAATACGAATCCCCCGATAAAATAAAACCCACATGATCAACCTACATCTACCGTACGGCTTTCTTATCAGAATAATCTGAGTTATGACTTGCTGTATTTGTTGACACCTGTTACGTTTCCCTTAATCTACGGTCATTTCAAAGCCATGACCTCTAGACGCACCTGGGCTATTGAATTTTCTTATTTCTGGTACGGAAAATATTTTTGGTCGACAATAGCCAAAGCATGCGCAAATTTTACATATTCCATCTTCGTGAACAAGCCCTGAGGGTCTTTTCGGTGTTTGGAGCGACATTCCCTATATGCCTTCATTTGCTCACCACATCGTATCTTGAAAATAAGAAATCAAACGGGAATTCCTAATTAGATGAAAAAAATCAAGTTGCGAGCCTTGCATTTACATAAACAAAACCCTGTACAGGTTATCATTGGCGAAGTACGATGGAATCCTAGTCACACTACGCAAATAATCATAGTTTTGGTTAAGCGTGCATATTCATTTGATTTTCGGCATGCGCAGTATAACCGAGCATGCTAAGAGAAGAAAAACCCGCCATACCGAAGGCATTGTTCGACTAACCTTCCTGCCTCTATTGTTGACAGGATGGGTCCACATACATTGGTCTGTATATAGACTCCATATTTTCAATAAACGTTACACCTTATCTTGGGTACATCGAAAACTTTATATATTAGACGTCTGCCCAGTATTCCCCAACTGTTCTCTTTATGGCTACGACTACGTTCTATACATCGATGCTTAATAGCGATTACACGAATATAAGGCATCCGCAGCCGTACCAACTAACGTTACCGTCATTCAACGAGCTCTTGACAAGCATACCCTTACCCACTGACTTCACACAATATCCTAAGGGTGCCATACCGGCCCCTGCAAATATTCACCCCCATCCACTCAGTGCAATGGGTACCGGGGTGCCCCCGATGGGTGGTAGTGCGATCCACCACCCATCTATAGGCGGTGTGCATGGTGCGCAATCACCACCCAATAGCACTCTGTCATCGCACTTGGTGCACGCCGGGCAAATAGGGCCTATAGCGCCTTCCCTACACCGGCCTGCGCAGGATCTTTCCAGCACTCCCTACACACATTCCACCGTCATCGACCAGTTTAAGATTCCGACGCCTCCCCTGTCGGCGTACTCATTCAAGGAATCTCGTACAAAAGACAAACGCAAGCATACATGTAAGGTATGCCTGAGGTCGTTTACTACATCGGGACATTTAGCAAGGCACAATAGAATCCATACCGGGGAAAGAAAACATTTTTGTCCGTGGCCTAGTTGTGACGCAAGATTCGCCCGCCAGGACAATTGCATGCAGCATTACAAAACTCACAAGAACGGCAAGAAACGAACTAAAAAGTTCTAGGGGGGCTGCAGAACCATCACTAACTATATAGTACGATTAATGATCAAAACAACTCAACAAAATACATGCGCAATAGAATTCGTAAAGTTTGTGTAGACGTGCGAAACAAAAGTGTGAGTAAATAAACTGGTTGCCAACCCTCTACAACCCTGAAAAGTCAATGGGTCATGTTCACTTGGTGTCCAATACATAGTCGAGCATGGACAAGCACAATCCTGTTGATTGAACTGACATGAAATATGCTTGACCTGTTGTAAGAGCTTCAAAAAATATTTGATGGCCCATCGTTCCACACCGTAACATCACCTAATTTGCTCGCGATAGAAGTCTTCACTATACCAATCGAGACCCTTATCACAATTACGCTCATGCATCTCATAGGCTTGTGTAACCTACTTATACGTGTTGGCCAATTATTGCTCTAGGATTATAGAATGCGGCACTACTATTATATGCCGTCTTTACCGTGACTAACAATAACTTCGGTATCCGGTAAATCAACCTCCGCATACCAACGGTATCACGGCTAACAACCCTGTTCCCCATATCACATCGTCACTTCTGGGGCGGCGCACACTTCGGTCCTTGCGTAAACTGAAATGCACTTAATTCTAGCGTCTTGGTGCATTTTGTTGAAGCACTTTATTACTGGCCCTAAATATTT